GGTGTGCAGATAAAGCACAGGACTACCTGTACTGAAAAGAGGATTAGGACAGGTATTAACACATGATTGATCAATGCAGGTCCTCTCCTGAAAGAAAGAAAAAAAGAAAAAGAAAAAACAGTGACAGAAAGAAAGAAAGAAACACCTTAAAATAAGAGTAAGTAAATGAAGAACAAAGAAACCCAGAAAAAAGAAAGAAAAGTAAAGCAAAATAAATACTGTAAAAGTAAATTAAAAATTAAAAAAAGAATTAAAAATATAAATATATAAAAAGACTAAATAGAAATGAATAACTATCTATCTAATGAATTAGATATATAGAAAGATAGAAATAAAAATAAAATAAATAAATAAATTAAGAAAAATAGAGATGTGATTAAGTTAATAAAAAGAAAATAAAAAGAGTAATAAAAAAGGAAATAAGGGCAAAAAAGAAGAAAAAGGAAAGACAGAAAAAAGGGAGATAAAAAGATTGAAAAATGAACTTAAAAGACAAAAATAAAGATAAAAGACAGGGGAGAGGAGGAAAGAAGGAAAACATAATGAAAGAAGAAAAGGAATGAAGACAAAGACAGAAAGACTGACTGACGAAAAAAGAACAAATGGATGAAACAGAAACAAGAAAGGAAGAGAGGAACTACAACTGAAAGAGGAAGAGAAAAAAACAATAAAATTAAGAAAATAGAAATATGACAGGAAAAATTACAATAAAGATAGAGAAATAGAAACAAAGAAAGACATTAAAATAGAAAAATATATATAATTGATACTTAATACTTAGCTGTACTGAAATGACCTGAATCATGTTGATGTGGAAACAGATCAAATACTGTGAGATGGTAAAGACAGGGTTATTATTATTATTATTATTATTATTATTATTATTATTATTATTATTATTATTATTATTATTATTATGCTGTACTTTAAAAGAAACAGAAATTAAATGTATTTATTTTAAACAGTAAAAAGAAGTTAGAAATACTTGTATAAGCTGAAAATTATTAAATAGGCTAAGACTGTAAGAGTAAGAAAAATAACAGCTCATAGTGGGGCCCTCGGGCTGTCTGAGGGCTGTTCAAAATCGAGATACAGGCTTACAACATGTAACAGGTGCCACAAAATGTGCATCAGAGAGTTGAAACCAGACAAAATGTGATTTAATAAAAATATGACGGCAGCTGGATGAGCTGAACAGACAGAGAGGAGACAGTAAAGATTCATCCAGGCTGCCTGCGGCTAAAATGATTTCACTGTAGGTTTGTAATAGTTCTGTTGGGGCAGACGTTTGAAATGTCGTTTTTATGATCGGCGTGTTGTTCACTGTTTTGAACACAAACATCCCGTCACTGCAGAAGAAGACCGTGTGATGACAGATTGAAAGTTCACTGCTGCAGTCTGCACAGCTCTGCCTACATGTACTAACATGCACTGCCATTTAATCTATCTTCAGCTAGCAAAAGTCATCTTTGTTAGCAGACCTTTCCGAAAGTTAGCTATGTAACTGCAATTCAGGAACAAGCTCAAAACATTCACCAGATGCATTTTGAATCAAGGCCTAAAATGAAAGTTACCCTGACAAAACTTTTAACAGATTGAGTAAACTCAGAACCAAACTCTGTTTTTTAAATACATTTTACCACTTTATTTTTTTCAAGTCCACATGTTCCAAAATCCACAAGCTCTTGTAATCATTCAGCCACTGCAAAACATTTAATCTCTGCAGACCAATTCTTAAATACAGTATATATAAAAACAGAGGGAGGAATTCATAACAAAAAAAACTTGTATTTGCTCATCTTTCACCCCGTTCTAAGCTTTGTTCCACACTACAATTCACAAAGAACACTAAGCAAATGATATTACAGCCCAAGCAAGTCCAGGTCTTGCAGCTCTGTGCAGTTTTTTCTGTGGGAATGAACTGTCAGCATCTTCACTCTATGAATTGCTGCACTGCACTGTGCACTCTCATTCTGACAGAGCTCAAACTGTCTGTGTTGAAAGGTTTGTATTGTGGAATGACTGTTGTCATATGGGTTTAGCATCAGAAATATTATGTAAACCAAAGTGGATCCTTGATAAAGAAATAAAAAACTCTAATTGAAAGTGATTTCTGCATAAACGAACAGTCAAGTAAATAAAACTTATGTAATCAGTCAGCTCTAACAGTTCAGATGTAAATGTAATGATGTCATGAGGATCCTCACTATCAACAAGCAGCATGAGGTCATGACCACAGATATCACAGTGCTCAACAGATAAACTCAACTATGTACAGACACACACTCGTGTTTCTGAGCTGAGGTGTAGTATGAGAGTCTGTCACTGTTTTAGAATAAGTCCTCGGGTGACTAAAGTCACAACTATTTCAGGGAGAGGAAGAAGGAGACATCACGTCATTGTTGAGCAGGATGACAGTGTGATGAGAATGAGTTTCTACTGTACTGAGTGTGTGCCCACATGACTGTGTGTTATGTTCCCACGGATCCTCACACTCACTCAACAAAGATTTCTGAACAATTTCTGACCAAACGCTGAAAATGTCACCAAATATTACAAAACAGTAATATTTATTAGCTTCTTTTGACAAATCATCCGTCAAACTATTATAAGGCTGTTTTAGTTCAAATTTCTCCCACCATGTTTCCAAAAATAAACCTCACATTTGTTCAGAAATAAAACTGAAACTTGAGCTGCAATTTAAAATATGCTCCAGCTCTGGCAGCTATCATAAATCTTTTCATGTCGCATGTTTGAAATACTTCAGAGGAAACTCACTGTTCATGCTCCAATGACAGGAAAATCTCTGAGGGTGTTTTACTTCATGCAGGAGTGTTTTATCGCTAGCCTATAAAGTCTACAGAGTTTCTGCTACGTGATCTGTGAAGCTGTTGTATGTTTAAGGGTCAAAAGTCAGAGGGTTTTAATTTTGTCCAATGTGACCTATTTCCATGGTCTAAGTCTTTGTTAATCACATCATCATCCTACTTTGAACACATTGCGTGCCCGCTTGTGTCCCTCGTTTTCCTGCATCAACAGGTGAATGTTTGTGTCTTTCTCTGATGATATGTGTTTGTAACTCTCTTGCTGAGCATCCCTGTGTGTTCATGTTGCCATAAAAGGTTGAGATCATGACAGTGCTCTGTGAAAGAAGGAGGAGGAGGTGTGGTTTAAGTTCGACGCTGTTAACTCATCACTGTGAGTCATGTTTTCACACAGGTGTCCCACAAATAGCTTTGTACTGATTTCAAGAGTGTTGCTTTAATGATTTTAGCAGATTTTTAAAAACTCCTTCTACCCACTTTAGGCTGGGCTCTGGGGTCAGAAACCGGTAACAAGTCATGTGACTGGGCCACAAATCAAAGACTGCAGCTCCCACCCAATTGTCATATCAACAAAGTTACATAAATAAGAGGGAAGCAGGTTGAGAACCGGTGATTTAGCCAACTTAAGCATACAGAGAGCTGTGGTGAGTTAGGATCATAACATTTGTGCTCCATGATTAACAGTGTCCAGAGAGTGAAGGCTTTGAGATGCTGCATGCATGTATGAAAAATCATCAGTCAGTCAGGGGCAGAGAAGTACCAGCAACAAGTCTAAGAAAAACATGACTTATTCCTGGAAGTATAGCTGAGCAGTAAACAACAGTATCATCTGTATACAAATGAATATTAGTATATGGGATAATTTGACCAATACTCTTGATAGAAATTGTAAAAGTAACAGTGGCCCCAGAATGGTGCCCTGGGGTATGCCTTTTTTTTATTATTGTGAGAGACTTTAAGGTGATTCCTTCACTTTACACTCACTCATCTGTTTGATTGATATTTTTCAAACAGAGAGAACATCATTCATCAAATTGATATGGCTAAAAGCATCACCTCTGAATAAATACAGAAATAAAAGAATAATTAATCTCTGCTCTTCAGTCAGATCTGTAGCATTTTATAGACTATAAAACAAAAGTTGTCCACCTTACTTAAAAAGTTCTGCACTATAGTTATTTTGATGAACCCTCTAGTTCAAGATTTCATCAGACAAAGTGTGAGAAGTGCAGAGCACTTAGACAGCTTGCGTCACCTTCCTCTTTTCATGGCATTTAGTCCTCTGCAGGTTATTTCAGTCCTGAATGAACATAATCCAGAAACCTGATCCTGCCTATGTCACACACCACCCACTGGAAACTTCTTAGTTTCCAGCAAACCAGCAGAGAGAGCTCAGTTGTCAGCCAGCAGCATGCTGACGCTGTCAAAAACAAAGGACATTGTTCTTTAAATGTCATAACACCTGAGAGACGGAAACATCCAAGTGATGCCGTTCAGGTTCATGACAGAGCAAACAAACAGAAGACAAAAGAGATAAACGTACACCTGAGCCAAAAACATACACAGGTGAGTCCTCTGCAGGTGAAATGTTAACCTTCAGCTTTCTATTATTGGCTCAGGGACTAATTTAGCTCCAGTATGAGGAACTTTCTCAAGGTGTGGTGTTCATCCAGGATATTCAGCTGTGAGGAAAGACTCTTGTTGACACTCTAAAGGTCAAAGTGGAAACAATGTTAGAGAAAATACACAGCTTCCCGTGCTTTTCTGCTGGTCTCAGAGGGACCTCTCATGTTTTTGAATTCCTTTTAATCCCTGGAACTGCAGACAGGAAGTAGGTGTCCACATCTAAAAATACTCTGAATGTAATGTTGGTAAAACACGTTTAAAACAATGAGCAACTCAGACAGAGGACTTACTGTAAATTCTACCCTGTTGTTGTGTTGTGCTATAATGCAGATGTGAACATAGAGGGCGCTGCAAGAATGTGTCTTGCATTGGAGATGTGGTTGCTGTAAGCAGAGGAGAAGAAGATGATAAAGTTAACAGACTGAGGCACAGAGAAGCTCTCCGGCTACTTATATTACAAATATTACTAAGTACCACGACTGTGCATCAAATAAAATGTTTCTTCTAAAATTTTTTGCTGTTAGACTCTCATTTCCCCCAAAACAATCTATCTTCTTACGGCAAGTGATTAAAAATCATGTGGTGCACTTTTGCATGACAAGTATTGGTCGGAAATATCAGCTACGTATGTAGACTTTGGCATAGGTTTGCTACATGAACCTACAGAAGCTTTTTGTGGCATCTGTCTGCAAAAGAGTCTAAGAAAAAGTAACTTAACTTTTATGCCTGACTTTATAAAGCTGTGTTTCAAATGAGTTTGCTGCCTGGTCGTCCTCACTCCGCTACGCTAATATTAACATTTTATGAACTGATCCACTTGAAGCCCCCTACAGGCCTAGAGCACTTCTGTTGTCATGTTTCTCGCTGTCGTGTTTTTGTCCTTGCTCTTTGGGGTTATCCAGTGGTTTACTTTCAAATGAGGGGTGTACAGTACCTTTTAGATAAAACTACAGGACTCTTGTTGGTCTGCAGGATCTCAGTACAGACAAAGAAGAGAAATTTCAGGGATTAGAGTGTTACGAAATGCTTGTCAGTCTTCCTTGAGTTTCTTATGTTTGTGAAGTTCTGACTAAACTTTTGTTTTTCACGTAGATGTTAGGAATGTTATTGTCAGAGTTGATGATCAGTTGGACTTCCTCAAACTCAGAGGCCTCTGGGATTTTCCTGACCTCTGTTGGGTCCAGCGGTTACAGGAAGGAAGAAAAAACAAACCACACAGCAGCATGACTTATAACCTCCCATGTGTGTGTTTTCCTGTCTAAGACGAGCTCAGAGTAGGGGCTGCTGACGTCGAGCTGCAGAAGTCAGAAGTTACTCAGAGCCAGGAAATGAAATGTTTAGTTAACCGAGGGTGAGAGACGACACGTTTGTGGAGGTTTAGCAGTTCTCCATGATCCACTTCGGCTAAGACTGGATTGGTCAGGGAGTCACCCCCCCTTTGGTCCCTCACCACAGTCAGACCTCACCGTCCAATCAGAGCCAGTCAGAAAATGACGACAAAGCAGGGGAAACTTTCTGCTCTGAAAAGTGAGGGACCCAAAGTTTAACTCTTTACAGGTCAGTGTGCTCTCAACACTCAGTTTGCACCGCTGCAATTTTCCTGAAGACTGGGGTAAAAACTGCAGGGACCAGGATTTTAATAAAGTCCATTAAAACCTGCTAGAGGACAACACTTCCTGAGATTAGACTTTGGGATCGTTGGATCCAAATCTGAACATTGAAGAAGAATTCACAGCTATCACGAGTCTCTTTAGACATTTACAGACGAAAACTGCCTCCAGAGACATCCAGGATGTTCACTCCCTGGAGGAACTTTTAAGAAAAAGCTTCAAAACTTTAAAAAAATGCAGCGACATTTCTGATAACAAGCTTGTCAAAGATAAGACATTAGATAGACACTTCTTAATAACTCTGAGTAATGTTTTTAGACAGAATTTTTATTTTTTCTGACTAAAATAAGGAAAAAAAAAACATTTTTGACTTTGCTCTGCCTCGACAAATTTGAGCAAGTATGTTATTTTAAACCCCAACAGTATCTACAGAAATAGATTCACCTGCTGATTGGGAATGTTTCAACAACTCAAATTCAGGGCCTGATACTTTTAAAAGAAGCTGTTCTTTCTCTATAAGGAAACATTTTGGTGTTTCTCACTTTCTGACTTAAACTGGACGCCAGTCAAACTAAAAACCACAACGTTTATTGGCACAGACTGTAATTGCTAATTCACTTCTGATGGTTTGACACTCACAACAAAAACAACAACAACAAAACCTTTGATTTAAGTGATTAAACACAAACCTGAATGACAACAACAAACAGTTCTGACTCAAACATGTGACATGGTAGTGGGAGGGGCTTCAGATCCACAATAAAAGGGCTCATGTGGTGATGCTACCCCCTGACCCTCCTGCCGGGCTCTGCCCCGTTCTGCACGTAGACTCCATCACACGGCAGTTCACCAGCGTCAAGCCAGCCCGGCCAATCAGAAACGTCTTTGATCAGAATTACCACACAATACTGACCCACATCACATGAACGCTATAATGACCCGTTGGCTGAGTGTGTGCGAGTCTGTGTGCTGTGTAAACGCTGGTGGTCTGTGTTTTCAGAAAGAGTTACTGTACTGAGTAAACCACGGGGGGAGGAATGTGGTCAAACGTGACTCAACCTCGTCCGCCGACAGTCATTCTCTCGCTTACAGTAAAGGTGGAAAAAGAAGACTTCAGAGAGTGACCAGGGTGGAAGTTTTTTCAGCAGCAGACGGCAGGCGGAGTTGAGGGCCCCCTCAGCGTCTGTGGGAAATGAAACACCATGAGGAAAGGCGGATAAGAATAATTAAAATAACTTTATGAACATCAAACTGCTGTTTAAGTGTGACAGCGCCCCTCATTTTACTGTCAGAGTGGAAATAAACAGACCTGAAGAGACACAGTTTCACCTCCTGATCCACACTCAGACACATTTATGGATACTCTCAGGTCAGGCCTCAGAGCTGCTCCTGAAAGACTCACATGGAATCCTTGTAACAGACTGTATGTGATGCAACATCATCCTCAAAAGGGAGATTTCAGTCATTTTGAAATGAGGATGTATGAGTTACATGTCATCAGTAAGTCTATGAGCCACAATGGATGCTGGTTAGCTCAAGTGTTGAGCAAGTTCAGACTAAAAATGAGCAAGGTCACTTCTCGTGGACTCAACCTAAGTGATTCACATTCATTGTTTTTAGCTATTTTATTTGGAGAGTCTCCAAAGCTTCAGTCCTCAGCCCTCAATCTCAGCCTGTTCCTAAAATAAAAAACTGTATAATCATGAGACAAATCTGCAAATTTGAAAACTTAAACATCCATAAAAACTACAGACTACTACAAACTATAGTTTTTATGAGAAATAAACCTGCTTTATTAGATTTAACGTGGGCAAGATGGTTTTTATATCTCCTTAAAAAAATAAAGAAGGACAAAAAGTGAATTATTCTCCCCTCTTGAAGAAGTTTTCAGTCTGCTGAACTCTGTCCTGATCAGAGCTTCAAACTCTGTCAGACATTCACGAGTAAAATCTACATCCAAATAGAAGAGGGTCAAAGCACAGTCCTCAACCACTCTAGGAGCTCTCCATTAAAGCAGCGGCCAGAATAATAAAAGACTAAAACAATGATACAAGTCAGAGTCAGAGTAAAAAGCCATCAGTACAGTCGAATCAATAATACATGTAACAACAGGAAACAAGAATGAAACCAAAGTTAAAAAGAGAACAGAAATACTCAAATAGATTGACTCTGAATGTAAGAAAAACTACTGAGTATGAGGGTCAGAGAGTCAGACCTCTATAAACAGAATTAATTCTGTATTATCTCACCTGTCATTCAGTTTTACCACCTCACCTCTCTGAAAGCCATATTTGGAAACACAGCAGACCAGGAGGGTGTGTGTTTGTGTATGTGTACGTGTGTTTATATGTACAGCGTGGAGGAATCTCACACCCCACTGAGACAAAACTGTGACTGTGACACTTTCACAGCTGCTCATCACTCCTGTTTCCACTTTAGGGTGTGTGTTAATATCTGCTGATGTGTATCACTGTGTGTTAATGTGTGTTTGAGGTCATGCTGAGCGTGTCCTCGTTCTTCAGATGTTTCAGATGCTTTTTGCTTCAGCTCATGGTGAAACAGAAGAAACAGAAACATGCTGCAGGTATTTCAGACATGTAGAATACAAACTCGACAAGTTTCACAACAAATTTCTCCAGGAGCGCATCGACCAGTCAGAATGAAAAACTCCTTCCCTCTATTGGCAAATCACAATGTGGTAACATACCTGCAAAGATTTGCAGCTAAAATCACCTCTTAGAGTTCTCTGAACAATGGCTGCTAATCATGTCTTGGAAACAGTTGATAACTTGATGCACCATTGACAGAGTTTTAAGATGTACACACTGCTTTGTTGTATGGTCGCTGGCTGTGGCTGGGATTATTGACATGTCAAAGCCTGAGGCTGGGGCAACACACTTCCACTCTGTTTCATGTGCAATCGGGAAAAGGTGAGGCAGGCAGGGCATCAGCAAAGACTCTCAGGGGGGCAGAACAGATCCTCACATGGGGAAACCAGACACAGTATGAAGAGGAGGAGCTGAGAGGAGGACGATTGCATCAGTTTTAACCCAACACCAGTTTGATGTGTGGAAGGGAGTTGGCTGAGCTGTCAGCTGATATGGGCTGGGTTAATGATCAGCTGATATAGTGTGGGCTGCCTGAACTAACACCATGCGTATCCTTTGGTACCCTAAATAGAATATTAGTTACCTAGAAGACAATAACACCTTCAGCTGGAAACACTTTGATAACTTCTATGAAATGGCTTTTTGGTTGGTTGGAAGTTTAGGGTTCGTTATTATATTGAATTAAAACTGTTGCTATAAAAGCCCAACACAGCAGTTCAAAAAAGACAAATTTATAAAATCTTGCAACAGATGCTCAAGAGCACTCAAACAAGGAGCCAACCAGAGGCCAGTGTGTGCTTTCTCAGGTCTGTGCTGAACCACCCGCTTTGTGAAGACGTTCAGGGACAAAGCTGCTGCTGCTGCTGTTTGATGATGGTGCAGTTCTATATTTATCCTGTGAGTAGGTTATTTAAACTGCAAGAAGAGGCAAAGATGTACAATATATATGAGACTAAATATGAATGTGATGTTAGTACATTACAATACAAAAGGCTAATCCTAAACTAAAGTCACACATGCACCAAACACTTTCAAACTCAACAAAGAGCTCCTAAAATTTCACAGCAGGAAAAAAAAAAAAAAAAACATCTGCTTGTGATTCATTTCATTCAGCATTGATAAATTTCTTTCGAAAGACTCTCCCAGAACTGCAAAAAGTCACGTTGCAGCGGATGAGTGAAACTGTAAAAACCACAAACCTGACTGAAGGTATATGCTGAAAGGATTTCTAAAGCCTGCTGAGTGATGTATGATGATAACAGAGTGATGCAAGATGATGATATTTCTGCAGAAAACACCTTCAGGTTTTCAGAAGTTACTGACATTCAGGAGCATCTTCACACTCATTCTAGTGATTCATTAAAGTATTCAGAAGTCTTTGCCGCTTCTGACCGAAAAACTCCGAATGTTGAACACAGTGCAGCAACCAAGAATAAATGCACAAACTGCGTCAGTCACAGTTGCACTGAGCTCTCTCAGATTTTTACTGTTTATTTGCACAGTGATGCGAAGCGCTGAGGCACATTTTCAATCCCCCGCACACTTCATATTGTAATTACAGGAAATAACTTTAAAAATGGGTTCAAATCAGGTTGAGCTTCCGTGCTGAATCCCAGTGGAATTTTCTGTCTTCACTTCGATTGATCTGCAAAGATGACCTACAAGATGCAGATTATCTCCCAGTTAGACAAGACTGGTTTGCTCATGTTGCAACAGGTTTTGGCAGAGTATGTGAAGAAATGGAACTTAACAGGAAGCTGCTGATTCTGCAGAGATTCCAGGGAACTGCTGGAGGAGATTAACAATTAGATGATCTAGCTACTGGAATTAATGAGTCCTCTTTACTCACTGTTTTCACCAGTTGTTTCACTCCTTAAATGCAAATCTAAATCATTTTGCAACAAATGTTGATCTTAAATTTCAAAAAATCTCTGATTATAAGGTGTCACCAGGCATCACAGCAGCTTCAGTGTTTAATTGGAAAACAGATCATCTGTTTAGTTTTTCTCTTTATGTTAGAGCTCTGCTTTTTCTTTTCAGTAATCTTGATTCTCCATCTTCAGTTTTTTCTTGATAAAGATGAGGTACCTGTGCTTTCATGAGAAAGATAAGCTCTTCAAGCTTCACAGTCTATCACATCACTCCTCATGGTCCCCAGCCTGAGCCAACAAATCGTGAGGGTTACCAGATGTTGATTCCCTATTTTCACAGTATTTTTGTTATTTTGACCTCTTAAAGTTTAAAATCCTGCAAGGAAAAGCTTAAGATTTGTAGCCTATGTTGGCATTAACTACCATGAACTTGAATGGACGAGCATTTACCAACATAGAAAACCATGAACAGACTAAGTTTTTCTATCCTAGAAAATCTTCAGCAGCAGAACAGCTGATCTCTCTAAAACAGGTGTAAAATTTCATCTGGTGTCAAAGGACTTTCAAAATAGTAACATCCTGTAATTTCAACATTCAGAGTGATCACACCGCTCAAAGTGACAAAAGTCACATGTTAGAAAATTGCCAAGACTCCCCAATTCAGAGTTTAGTTTGATGCAAGCCAAGATAGTTTTAGAATCTGAAGTAATATCCACATGACAGAAGAATCATTGATAGTCATCATGACTTCAGTTTTCAGGTCTTCACTCAATTCAAATCGGATGCAAATATTCACAACAACACTAAATAAACCCTCACATCATATAGAATAATGCCCTTCCAGTACTAAGGGTGTGGTGTGAGCTCTAAACTATTCAGATCGACCTGGCTGTAAACGTGTTTATTTTTGCTCCAAAAACTGCCTTTTTTAACCCAGTGTGTATGTGGTTTCTGGTACGTCTGCAGACAGCCTCTAGTGGACACTGTGAACTGCAGTTTTCAGCACATCTGCACCAGCTTCATCTCTGGAGACCGGAGGATGCCGCTCAGAACCAAAGCAACAAATTACAAGGAAAATTAGTTAAAACAAGAAAAACTGACAGATATCAGTCATAATATTCTGCTCTGATGTAAACAAACCAAACTCAAACAGACTTCCTTCCTCAGGGTGATTAGAACTGTATCCATAGCAACAGTGTGCTAAAGGGTTGTCATGGCCAATCAGAATCAAGTATATATCCCAGCTGTGTGATAAAAGTTGATACATTTTGGTTGTTATATAGAAATAGGCTGTGGACTTAAGTTAGTTAGGATTTAGGCCCCTTTTGGGCTTTTTTAGGTGATTAGCTACTGTTAGCAGTTAGCATCTCTAACTCTACATGGCAAGGTCTTAAAATGTGCATAATAGAGACTCACTCTAGAGTCAAACGGTTGTTTTCTGTCACAACTGTTTTGATAGATTCAAGCTTCAAGTATCAAAGTGAGTAGTGTTGATTGGCTGTTACTTTAGAGAAAACTTTAGTGTAGTGCAGCCGGCTGATGATGCATCTGAATCTGTGAAATTTGTCTGCAAAGCTGGAGAGTCTACAGGATTGGTCCTGATTTCTGCAGTGCGATATGGTTTAAGTCTCCAGCTGTGGATTATCATTTAACTTCATGTTGTTCATAAAGCATAAATGCTTTTTTCAAATGGGCGCAGAGTAGTTTTACAGTTTGTGCCCTCTGAGATGAACTTTAGGTGTGAATGTGGGTAAGAAGGAAATTTCCACATGAAAAACCCACGTTACGCCCAGAGTCTTCTTCCTTATTTCATCCTTATTTATAGATTTTACATCATCCAACTCAATGACACATAAAACATCCGCCTGCAGATTCAAAAGAAGTTTGTTCTTTGATTTTTATCAGAAAATTCGTTCAAACCATCTTTTAAAATCCATTTTAGTCTTTGTGTCGACTTAACCCTCTTATCATTTCATCTTTCGGCTATTGTTGAAGTTATGGTTGGGTGTTCTGGTTTAGTTCTGTCTTATGTTATCTTATACATGTGAATCCATGTTTGAAGAGTCTGTGGAGGATTTTGAAGGAAGTTTCCAGCAGAAACATGTTACCACATGATGTCCTGTCTGTGGTGTTTACAGTAAACTGAAACCTTTCTGGACTTCTGGAAGTTTTAAATGTCATGTGAAGGTGAAATAATTAAAGGAATAATCAGAGAAATGAAACAAAAAGCGAAACAAATGAAGACCAAAAGACAAGATAGAGTCCAAGCTAGATAATTATACTATCTGTTTTTATGACTGACTTGTGGTCACCCAGGCTAGAAAACGATGCAGTAATATCTACCTATAACTGTCTGTGTGTCTTTAAAGGGATATTCTGATGTAAAATTTGGAGTCAAACACTGTAACACCGAGTTAGACACCCCCTCGACAGTTGAATGTTCTCGACTGCTTGCTTCTCTGGTAATACCAACTTTAGTAATGACCGCAGGATAGCAATAGAGACCGGCAGTCTAAGGAGCCATACACAAACATCAACCAAAATCCCACTCTATAGCCACAAATAATGCTCAGAACAGCACCTGACTTCATCAACAGTACATATAGGGTACTAGCCATTGCACTAGCTACCAAACATCTTTTTAACTTTGCCTAATTTCTTTAGTAGAGAGACTAAACACAACACACCTCTCTTCCAGCCGCCGCTTGTTTGTAGGGAGACCTTGGACAAATCAATCACCGACTACAGCAGGGGGATGCAGCTCAAGGAAGAACATTTATGATCATTACTTTATCATTTCCTAAAAGTAATAATCATCAAATTTATCATTTTGCACTGCAGACGCAGTAGTTCTTCGGCCTTAGCGTCTCGGTCTGATTACATTTCCATGAAGTAATGATCAGTAATATAATAAGTTAAAGTATCCCTTTAACTTTGAACCATCATGTCCCATTACAGTCACTAACACACAGGCTTTTCTGGGAGTCCCTGAGCTCCATTATCCTGTAGTTTCCTCTGGATTACTGCTGCAGATGTCCTGTTGCTGAGGACCTGACTGCTTCAACTACATGTATCAGTATCTCCTCTGTCCATCTCTCTCCCTTCATCTCTCTCTCTCTTAACTCAACTCAGTCTCAACAGATGACTGTCTAACATGAGTCTGGTTCTGCTCAAGGTTTCTGCCTGTTAAGGGAAATTCTTCCTCTCCACTGTAACTTGATCAATGCTATAAAGTGCAATAAAAATAACGATTGGTTGATTTGATGTTGTCTGGCCTTGAAATATGGTAAAACATAGACTTGGAGATTATTTTTCTCAAACACAGACACACTGTCATTGAACAGGGTGATATAACATTAAAACAACAGTCAAGTCTCTCACTCAGTGTGTAATGCTGGAGGAAAAAGTCTGCTGTCTGGATGAGGCCGGAGCTTCATCGGCATCCTGCCAACAGTTTTCTGCAGGAAAAACGGCTCTGGGAATGCACCCAAGAAAAAAAAGTCTCTTTTCATATGCTTTATATGATGTAAAATATCAAAGATGTTGAAATGTTTATTCTGGTGAACAAGATTTAATGGTCATATAAACATACAAAAATGAACAACTTTCCATCAGACTCACAAATTTATGACAAATTTTATTTTTGACTTTTCTTTTAGAGCTTCCAAATCTCCTGAAGAGTATCAGGATCAGCCAAAAAAAAAAAGAAAAAAGAGAGAGCAAAGTTTTTTTTTTTTAAATAGTAGAAATATAACACAGCCTTTGAAGAGTGCAGTCTGTATGCACAGGAGAAAAGATTTAACTAACTTTATGAATATTAATCTGCACTTAAGGAGCCACTCAGAGAAAACAGGAGCTTGTTGTGTGTTTGAAAGAATAATGTTGAAATGTCCCAGCTCTAATTTACAGTATAGGTTTCTATCTTATTTAGCTCGAGCCTCTTTCTCCTGACTCTGACCTTATTCAATCTGTCTCCTCTCGGTTTTGTCTGCCCCAAATTCCTTTGATCAATTAAGTTCACATTTTGCATAACAACTTTAAATAACGTGCAGTTAATTTAATCATTATCTAAGTGTAATATAGAGCATTTAATCATTGCAGGGCATATTTCTGGTCGTGTTCCCACATTTCTGAGGGTAATTATTTCACCAAACCCTGATGATGACTCAGCTCAACAGCCAGCTCGCTCCGGCTCTGATCGGCGGATCGACCGGAGAAATATGCAACTTTCTCGGTTTTTCCCACTTGAGCAACAAGGTGCGTTGGATCCGCTTCAGGGAGTGGCCTGCTGTGTCTGGGCGTTTCTAAAAAGAAAAAAAACACAACCTGAGCAGGAAGATATAAAGACGAGCCGCTGCGCTGGCAGCAGCAGATCAGACTTTCTGACAAACTTCGAGAGAGTCAAAGAGAAACAGGGACCAGAGACAGAAAAGCGACACTAAACTTACAAAAATGTACTCACGGACCAACAGTGTGACCATGACGCTGAAGAGGGAGAGCTTCGCCCTCTCAAGGACGGCGACCCGGAGCACAGAGCCCGAGGTCTTCACCTTCGAGCGGATAACCCCTCAAGCCACCGCCGTGCGCTCCTACGTGCCAATCCGACCCAAGAAGCGCTGTACCAGGGTCATGTACCCAGCTAAAGTCCGCATGCATCTTCCACCACCGGAGAAGAACCAGGCCAAGCGCTGGCTAGTCATCCTGTGTCTGGTGGTGCTGTGGCAGATCTACACCGAGGAGCCATGCGCAGACATGCCGCTAAGCAGCGCAGACAGCTCGGTCAGCGACTACCAGAGCTTCTCCTACCAGTGCGCAGAGGAGCAGAGGCGGATTTCAGACCTCAGCGTGAGCTCCGAGCTCCTGTCAGCCTCACACAGCGGCTGTCAGGATGAAGCTTCATTCAGCCCGATCTCTACCTGTCCCCAGCCCGTAGAGGAGACCGAGAGCAGCCTGTCCTACGAGCAGAGCGCCGGAAAGAGCTACGTGGTGGCCCTGCTGGTGTACCACAGACTGGGCAGTGACAACTGAGCGTCCCGGGACTGAATGAACTGTAAACGGCCCGAGTATGGGCTTCTCTAAGCGAACAGAGTTGGAGCTGATCCGGAGTAGCTGCTAGAGACGACAGTGTGGCCGGAGAGGGAGCTCCATGCGCCGGCTTCTCCCTGCCAGCGTTCCCCCTGAGTGCGGAGGGGCACACGCGGTGTGGAAGAGACACGAGAAAGAAAGACACGAAGAAGACAAGAAAGACAGACAAGACAAGAACTGTGAACACTGACAAAAACTGAAACTTGAACTCATGAAACTTGAACTATTCTGTGATTTACAGACTCAAACTGCACTAACAGGCCTGCAGACAATCGAGATGATTTACACCTGAAATTCTGGAAACCGTCTCTGCTGCAGGCCAACTAGCTCAAACCGACACTGCCTGATGTTTTAATGTCTTATTTAGTTATTTATTCTGTTATTTGCTATTTATTGATTAATAATTTTAATTAAAAAATGTCAAAAGAAGTTCCTGTTTCCTGCCTCTTTCCTGGTTTTGATGGTTTTCGAGTGTTTTAACTTCTGTTTAAAAAAAAAAGTGCATCTCTTAGATACTTTATTCACTTTCTTGCAATTTGAGAAAACACACTCCAGTTTTCATCTGCAAATTGCTCCAGGAATGGATGCAAAAATGTGATTACTTTTCCAAACAAAAGGGTTTTAGCCATCTAATATTAAACTCTGCAAAAGGTATGACAGGTCAATCATTTCTAGAGTTTGTATTTAATGCAGCTGAAAATTCCTTTAACTGCAGACCAGAAGCAGACATATTTAACAAACTGATAATAAAGGAGATGAAAAGTGATTTGACTGTCGAACAAACTTTCTCTCTGGTCTCTGTAAATTCTTATATAACAAGGAGGAATACTGTTGTTTGGAAGAAGCCAACAGACAGCGCTGACCTCAGACTAGACTGGGATATTTGGGATCTCAGCGTCAGACTGACAGGAAATGCTTTTTCAAGCAGATTCACTTTTATTTTTTGACTTGAGCAGAGTGGAGCAGAGTGAGTCAGTGTGGAGCGGCTGCAGCTCCGGCTTACATCACTGCTTCAAACAGCAATGAGTAAAAGCTGAACAGACCGAAAACTCTGCAGACTGCTCTGTTGTTTTAATGATTAATATCACCAAGACACAGATATGTTTCCAGAGTCTGCATTACCTCATAGATAGAAGTGTTGGGATGAGGTCATACCACAGCAGAGGAACTTATAGAGGTTTCTTGTCACCTCAGGCCTTTAGGGAAGACCTGCCGCTGTTGTTGTTGTTGATGATAATGAAGGAGGTCTCTATGGTGACAGCATCAAGTATCAGTCACGTATACCTTGACAGGTAACATGTCAGGTATGAGGTGGGGAGGGGATAATCACAGATTAGATTCTGTGCCTCTGTGATAAGATTTAAGTGTAACAATTATCTTCAGTTATTTTTATCCAACTGTGTTTGAAATGTGGATCAAACAGAGCTGAAGCCTGACTGTTTTGTTCTGCTGTGAACCATGAGGCAGCTTCTTTTGTGGCTTCTACCTTTAAAACATGTCAGTGAAAACAGATTCTGATGGTCAATAAATCCTTTAAAGACTATATTTGATTAAGAAACAGTTTACAGACAAAAAAGTTGAGAGAGACAAACAAGTGTTGAAAAAGTTGTGTGATGCGAAACAAACTGCTGGAGTAACATCTCCAATTAATGAAGTGAATTTCCATCAGGTTAGTAACATTTAGCGAATAGTTCATCAGTTTTAGAATAATGTTCCTGAGTGTCAAATGAGAAAGAATTAGTGTAGATGATTTCATCATTTACAGAACATAGTATCATTAAAAGATTCAGAGAATCTGGAGAAATGTCTGTACTAAAAGGACAAGGACCAAAACCAAGACTGGAGGGTCCTGATCTTTAGGGCATTAAAACAAACAGGACTCTGGAGTGGAAATCACCACATAGAAAAAACAGCTGGACTTACCTGAGACGTTACGCCTAAGGTGAAACGTCTCAAGTAAGTCCAGTTGTCTTTTCAACAAAGAATTGGAAATCATAGATGCTGCATACTCAGTTTTACAGAGCAGAGGGTCCACCCGGCTTGTTCTCAGCCCCCAGTCCAAATCCAGCATCCCTGAAGGTATGGGCACCATCAGAGTCTACATCAAAGGTATCTTCCACATCTGTGAAGGCTCCATGAATGCTGAACAATATCTACAGATTTAGAAGCAACATATGCTGACATCCAGACAAAGACTTTTTCAGGATGACCTTCATGTTTCAGGAGGACAATGACAAACCACATTCTGACAACAGGGACTACAACAGCATGGCTCTGTAGCGGAACAGTCCTGCTGAGAAACTGGTCTGATACAGTCCTGACTGTCCCCCATTGAAAACATTTTGGACATTTGTGGCACATTTCTGTCGAACAGTTTGGTAGGTTTAGGAGAGACCATAATCTCTGTTGCAATCATTACTAAGGCTGGTGATTACATAAGTAGAGTGTTGAATGGAACGTGACTAATGTACTCCTTACATTGTTACTATGGAGCCTCATGCAACCTGAAGCAAATGTGCACATCTCTGCAGGATGTTTTAACATCAAACATCAACAAAAATGCATCTTCACTGATCGCATCGGGGTCCACAGCTGTGGTAAAATATAAAGAAAAAAAAAGCTATATAAATGCTAAAATGCAGTTATTGACATTAACATCTTAAACACGAAGATATATTTTAGGTTTGGATGAGGCCGCATGGAAACAGTAAATTAAGTCTTAATGACACTTTCCTCAAAAAGTGAAGCAGCATTACAAATTACTATCTGTTTTTAGTCCACCATCGTGTGAAGAAAGGATGTGCGTCATGACTCTGGGTCTTAAGGAGAAAATCAAAATGTGATTGAGCTCCAGTCAAAGCTCAAACAACTCGAAACCACCAAACATGACATTTCTGTTTATTAGTATAGAGAGAGGTTCAACCAGCTTCACCACAACCTGAGGAAAAACCTCCTTTGCGTGCTTCTTTATCTCAACACCAAGATTACAAAGAGCTGAAGAATGTGAAACTGTCCAACCCCAAAACAGCATCAAAAGTGGTTTATTTAACAATCTTAGCTAAAGTCAACTCTCACCCTCTGTACGTGCTGAAAAGCGTCTCAGCTCTTCCTGCAGGTGTGCCGCAGTTTGTTTGCAGTGAAACTAAAACGTGACCTGACAAGCTGAGCGGTAATCACCGCAAAACAATACTTCTTTATATGACTTTGTTTCCAGCACTGGTTTAAGGAAAATAAAGTTCATGTCCTCCAGAAGTATCTCGAAATAGGTCAGAAAATATCTGAACAAGCTACAGAAAAGAAGAAAGACTAGAACTTTTTTCTAAGAAAGTTCAAGATGTAAAATTCTAAGACAGAATTTATCATCATTTTTCCAGACATTTGTTGAAACTGGAGAATTTCTACTGGGATAATTTTGAGCCTGGAACACTGTCAAAACTGAATCAATTCATGAATCGAACTCAGGTGTCTAAAGCCTCTTTCACACATGCACAAAGTTCCCGGAAATCTTTCTGTGGGTGAGCTGCATGAGTGAACAGAAACAGCCGAGTTTTTCATTCAGAATATTTCCTGCTGGCCTCCTGGTATCATTTCAGAGACAAGTACAGATGAGCTCAGATAAGCATGCAATAAAACTTCCAGATGATTCAGTGGGAGTTGCAGGAATTGTTGATGTCTGTGATGTGGCTGGTGTTGTTTGTCCAGCTTTGTTACTTGGTTGAAAGATGCTGCTGTAGTGAGCATTGATAACAGAGGTGGTTGGTTTACATTGTTTCTGGAAGTTTTCAGGTCATTAAGAGAAATCTGTTCACTGTAAGAAATGTCCCATCAATTATGCCTGAAAACAGCTCAAGTCCACATGGAGCTGACATGATTGTTAAGGCTCATGTGGCCTGTGTCTCTCAGTTGAGCTGATTCACCCTCAATAGCATCAGAAAGATCAGATCCTACCTGTCAGAGCAGCAGCTAAACTCCTGGTACAGGCTATGGTAATGTGACGACTAACTCCTTACTGGCAGGCCTCCCTGCATGCACAGCACAACTTTTGCAGATGATCCAGAATGAAGCGGCCTAGCTGGTCTTCAACCAACCTGAAACGGCACATGACACTTTTCTATCTCTCTCCACTTGCTGTTACAGGTTGCATCACAGTTTTGCATAATTAAACACCAATATTATGAAAAGGTTGCAATATATTCAAGTTTAGTTCTTCTTTTGTAGATTCTTCAAAACTTAAAAAAAAAAAAAAAAAAAAACTCAGATGACTACTTTCGGCATTTTGAGTAATGCTGCTGCTGTTTTTGGAACGGTTTAGGCTCCAGAATGAAAGCTGAGTTTAGGCCAAAGTTAGTTTTTTTTTTTTCCTCTCAATATCAGCTGCTGTCTCATGAGGGTAGTGCAGGAAAAGCTGTCTGTCTAGGAGAGACTACGTCAACCATCCTGGGGAATAAACTCTGCAATTTTTCATAGATGACTGTGGAGCCAGTTGCATAGTTTCACAGGTCAGCATTTCTGTAGCCTCTGATGTAAGTTCAAGATAAGTTCAAGTTTCTCCTGAGCACTTTCCCCGAAGTTACTCACAGGAAATATCTCCATGTTTCTCAGTCGGGAGTTCCTTCAGCCACATATTTTCTAAATTCCTCAGACTGATGGGAAAGTGCAGGTCAGCAGTTTGTGTGCAGATGAGACTTGGCCTTCTGCAGTGGCTGCAACATGCACTTAGATCTATATCAGGAGTGCAAACAAAAACCACTAGATCTATTTTAGGAGTACAAACAAAAACCACTAGAATCAATCAGAAGTTTGGAAACTGTTCTTATTTGAAACAAAGTTAAAATCCCTGATTTTTCTGATTGTTTGGTATCGGATGAAGCAGATCTGTTTGCCCCCTGCAGCCTGTAACTGAGCTGCTGTTTCTTCCTCATGTGAAGATCTTCAGCTGTTATGTAACACACAATGAAAAGCTGATTTCAGATCAGATCAGTCTGAACACGACTGAGCTTTATTTTCCCCGCTGGTTTCATCCAAGGGAACTGCAGTGGAAAAGTACCTGAAGTCACATTAGCCTCCTGCAGTTTGACAGTAATTTCACAGAGGAGGTGTTTTAAACTCACAGTGGAAACACTGGAGAGGGATTTAACTGCAGAATCAGAGGAAAAGAGGATTCTGGGTCAGTTCAGTCAAGGTCAAAGAAACAAACTGGACTTTATTTACGTGAGACTTCATATCTGAACCACCAGTCACTCTGAAAACACTGCGGTGCAACACAGGCTGTGACCACAAGAAGCTGGATCTGAGTTTTTGTTCAGATTTGCCTCATCCAGCGACTTTGTTTTACACTGATAATGTGAATACAAAATCTGTGATGTAACATAGTTACAGGTTATAGGTAACATAGTTTTAACGTAATGAACAGATGCTCCTCTGAGGTC